ATAAGTGTCGAATCCTTTATTGGCCACTAACAAACTTCCATACATATTAACATAATACCCAAAATATCCCTTTATACGATAGTGCTAGCTACCAAAAGGATAAATCAAAGTAGAACGTAATATGCACAAAGTTACCATTGTGCCTCAAGTCTAAGGATTAGTCATGTACTATTGTAACATGAAAATTCTTATTCGACTGAATAAATTCTTCATTAAGAATTTTCATAGGGTCACGTTCGGTGAACTTGTTCTCTAACAAGCACCCACATAAATGTACTTGCGTCACACGCTAATGTTGATGGAATGCAACATTCTTGTCCAACAAGCGTACAAACTATGTGCAAGTCTTTTATGGATTATTCGATATCCCATCTCGAAACATCCATCGACTTGGAACTGTATTTAAGATCACGGCTTTCAAGGTATGTTCCATGATCACCATCTCTATGCGCAACCATACCTTATAACCATAAGTGATCTAGGGATTTTATCTTAAGTGCATTTATAGTATAAACGCGTACTCTTAAAATAAAGTGTTGCCTTATTTACAATATAACTCCAATAGATCGTATTAACAAGTAGAATACGTCCAATCCGATTGGAACGCCGGGTACCCTACTCTAACAACTCCAACAGAGATTCCGCCAATTATTGAAATCGCTTCCGATGAGCCTGATGGTGACCGAGGAATCGTTGCAGAACAAGAAGTTCCAGCTACTCGGTCGAAGAAAAGGCGTGCAGAGGGCGTTCCCGTTGCGGAGGAACGAAGAAAAAAGAAGCATGATACCAGCGATAAGGGTAAGAAGAAAAAAGAACCGTTAGTTGACCGATCCTTTTTACCCATCGATGAAGAAAGAGTGTTAAATTTCAAACAGCCACGAGAGTCAGTCGAGAAATGGTTCTCGGTTTTTGAGTCGGTGGAAATCCCTGAAATATCAAGCACCGTAGAGCTGCCTAATCATGTTGTTGATGCTGCCCGGGTTCCAATGATGGTATGTGATCCAAGGTCTGAGATCGGCGTGTCATCTCTTCCGAGTGCATATAAGTTTAAATACGCCAAAGCTTGTTTAGGTCGTGCACTCGTTAGCTTGGTGATGGCCGAAGATGATTTCCGACTAAACGCAGCTCAAGTGGATGAGAAAAAGCACACCTTGGAACTCAGAGATGGAGCTCTTGCATCTCTGAAAGAGGAAGCAGCAGCAAAAGAGAAAGAACTGCAAGTCAAAATTGCCGAGCAAGCCGAGCAGCTTATGATCGCTCAAAGTGAAATTGAGACCTTAAGGGTTGATAAAGCTAGCCTTGACTCTGACGTATTAAAGCTGACAAGTCAAATTATCACTTCCGAGCAGCGCGTTAAGATGCTTGAAGAGCAACTCTCTCGGTGCGAATCTCTTCTCCGCAAGGAACAAGAAGCTCATGAGGTGACTCGAAGAAGTCGGTCTGAAGTTGAAGACTTATTGAAGAAAGACCGAGATGCTCATCTTGTCAAGCTCAGCAAACTTCAAGAAGAGAAGATGAAGTTTGCCGAAGAAAAATACAATGATGGTCTCCGAGCTGGGAGGATTCTCGAGGCGGAGGCCAACAGACTTAAGGTTAATGCTGAGTCGGATTCTGAAGATGAAGACCGTGAGTTTGAGATGAATACTTGTATCAATCTGCGCTGGATTATTGAGCGATTTGATGACGGACTGTACGATATCGAGGTGATTCGCCAATTTCTTCTCCATAAAATTAAGAATCACAACTTCAACCCCTCCATTGCAACTACTCACATTGAGGCAGATGAAGATGAGAAGAGCTTCTGTGAGGGTCTTCTTGCATCTATTGGAGCTGAAGCAAGAAGTTCTGAGGCCTCTGAATCGGACCGAGAAAGAGAAGCTCGTCTGCGTCGATCTTTTGTCAATATGGTGCTCGAGGGCGAAAAAGAAAAGAAGTCTGAACTTGCTAATATTTATGTCAAGACTTTGGCTGAGATGAATATGGAGGAAGAGCTCGAGAAGATGACTCCTGAGCAACTGCGCAAGGCTGTAATAGCATTTCTGGAAAGGAAGGTTGCCGAGTTATCTCAGAAAGTTGACGAGCCAACTGCTCCCGAGATGCCCAGAGTTGATGAAGATGATGCTGTTTTAGATAAGCACATCCTGGTGACACTCACCGAGGTTGAGAAAGCTGCAAAAGTTGAGGAAGATCGAGTCTTCGATATTATCAGCCGGATTATGTACGAGCAGATCTTGGAGAATGATGCGAAAGCAGCAGCGAAGGATAAAGATGAAGCTACTACAGCCGAAAAGACTGTTGATCCTGAATAGTTTAACTTTAATTGACTTGTTGTTTTTTTTTTTTTTGAAGTATTCCCAGCATGTTGGGATACTTTATGAATGAATGGTTTTTGATTATGCCTGTTTTCGTAGTTGTTATAATTTGAATGATATTTTATGAATGAATGGTTTTTGATTATGCCTGTTTTCATTCATAAATTTCTCAAGTATTTTGAACTCGGAATTTGAAATAAGTCGGTATTCTTTTAAATTCCGACTATTATATTCAGCAGGTCCTTTTACTTTTGCTGAATATTTCAAGTTTTAAGAAGTCGGCCAAACTTAATTTTATAAGTGGACACCACCTTTTTAGATGAAAATTTGGATATTATCTTTTTCAAATCAATCTTCAGGATTTGAATTTAAAGACAATCCAATTTTGATTTCAATTTGTCCATAACCTTCCCAAGTCACTAAACTTTGCTATTTGAAGGTTAATAGTTTGGTCGAGAAAGATATATCTTACCAAGTTATAAAGCTCGGTTTAGATTCGAAATATCTTTCAAAAATTTTAAGTATTAGTCTTGTCCAAGTTAAAAGCTTGACTATATAAAGACTAATTGTATACCGAGTTAGAGTGTCTCGGTTCTTTTTAAGAGACTCTTTAGCACACAATTTTATTATATTCATCAAAATGTGTACAGAGTCATATTTACATCATGAACATTTATTGGAAATACTTCTTCAGATAAACGACATTCCATGGATACGGAAGAGTAAGTCCATCTGGTTTCTCAAGTCGGTAAGTACCTTTTGGGAGTACTTGACTGATTTTGAACGGTCCTTCCCATTTTGGTTGTAAAGGCCCCGGATCTGGTCCAGTAATTCTTTTAAGCACTAAGTCACCAACTCGGAATGACCGTGGTTTCATTTTTGAGTTGACGTATCTTTCACTTTTCTTCTTATATGCAGCATTCTTAAGTTCTGCCATGAGACGCGTTTCATCTAGAAGATCCAAGTTGGCTTTTAAGTTTTCCGAGTTGGTTCCGTCTTGAAACTTCGTGACCCGATAAGTTGGGGATCCGAGTTCAACAGGGATGACTGCTTCCGATCCGTAAGTTAAAAAAAAATGGTGTTTCTCCTGTTGCATGACTAACTGTCGTTCTGTAAGCCCATAATACATTTTGTAATTCTTCAGGCCAAGACCCTTTTGTTGTATCAAGCCTGACTTTCAAACCATTTTTTATAAGCTTGTTCACTGCTTCGACTTGTCCATTGGATTGAGGATGGTATGGTGAAGAAAAGAAATGCTTAATTTGATATTTTTCACAGAAAGCTTCAAGTCGTTTTCCTTCAAACTGTCGACCATTGTCGGTTATAATTGAGCTCGGTATACCAAACCGACATATGATCGATTTCCAAATGAAATCGACAACTTTTTGTTCGGTAATCGTTGCTAATGGTTCAGCTTCAGCCCACTTAGTCGACTGCCACAATAGCAAATCGAACATTTCCTTTTGCAGTCAGAAGCGGGCCAATTATGTCAATCCCCCATCTAGCAAATGGCCATGGACTATAAATCGACGTCAAAGTTTCTGGAGACTGATTAACATTCGGGGCAAATATTTGGCGTTTCGTGCATTTGCGAACCCAATTCATCGCGTCCATCTTCAAAGTCGGCCAATAATATCCTTGTCGGAGTATTTTGTATGCCAATGCTCGGGCACCATTGTGATTTCCACAAATTCCTTCATGAACCTCTTCAAGGACATATCTCGATTCTTGCTCGGTTATACACTTCAACAAGGGAAAAGAGTATCCTCGTTTATAAAGAATCCCATTATCCAATGTAAACCGAGCGGCTCGAATTCGAAGAGCTCGAGCTTCTTTCGGATTTTGAAGAGTTGAAAGGGAAAGGAATTCTTCCTGACCCTCGACCTGTGAGAACTCCTGAAGAAAGACTTGATAAGACAAGATATTGTTCATATCACAAGTCGGCGGGTCATAATACTGACGAATGCCTTGGTTTACTTTCTGCCTTGTTACGACTTATTGGACACCCTCAAATCCAAAAGTTTGCCAAAAATGTTGATTATAAACGAAAGGGAAGATTGTTGGACTTACCAGACGATGATGAAGACGAAGGACATCCAGTTAATCCGAAACGGGTGAGGCCAAGTGATAAAGAAGTATTCTCATGATGAACTCAAAAGAAAATAATTCGTTGAAAAATACTGAAACGATTCAACGAGGAGGTTACTATAATCCTGATAATTCTCATCATGTTACCCGAGTCAATAACAGTAGCAATACGTTGTTTGAATCACGGCGGCAAGTGAAGGCATATGCTCGAAAGACTTATAATTCGGGTAAAACTGTTTTGACAACCGACCTCCGAGATAAGATTAATGCTCGAAATAATTGTCCAATAACATTCAACGTGGATGATGCTAGTTACTTCGCTCACCCACATGCTGATCCCCTAGTAATAACAGCACCCATTTGTGGTATACCGGTACACCGCATACTAGTGGACACGGGGGCATACTCAAGCATTCTAATGTTACGCACATTTGAGCAAATGGGAATTGATGTAGAATATGGACTTCGATTACCGTTAGGTTGCGAGTAATGAAAAAAAAAAAACTTTAAGTTGTAAATGCCAAAAACGCAGTTTACTACATGATGGAAAAAATTACTTACCCTAACTTTAAAGCTAGCTAGGGTTAGGGCTTTTGATTGTTTTTCTTAATTTTATCGACAAAAAGAATCACTGGGAGCAGAGGTTGGGTCCAGCTTGGGCGTTGAGGGGGCTGAAGAAGTGAATGTTAACATTCGAGGCTCAAACGACTCTAAATTCTCAGTGAAAACGAGCCTCGAATTGTCGGTGGCGGAATTTAAAGGTGTATTGGGACAGAACTGCGACGTGCCTGCTCAACCGCAGCGTTTGATCTATAAAGGTCGGATCTTGAAGGACGACCAAACCCTTGCTAGCTATGGTAGTTCTATTTTATTTTATTTTATATTTTTTTCCTGTAATTGTGTAATTTTCTTTGTATTTTTATTCACTTATACAACATTGCGGTGTTTTTATGGTTGATAAAAACAAGTAGTTGACTGTCTTATGTTCTTGCTTACTTGCTGTTGGAATCGTGAGGGGATTTTTTATCTTTGTTTTATTGAGCGTCTGGGACAAATATATCGAGCAAATGAAGGCTTATGCAAGCAAGATACTTGCTATAAAATAGATCATATCAAACTAGCTAAATAAGGGAGCGAAAGTGGGGATGGGGTTATATGAAATGGATCATATCAAACTAGATAATTACTGGAAAATATTTAATATTCTATCAATTGATATGACAATAAGAAAAAAATGATGGATGCAGTTGACTTAATTGTTGATAGAATTTAGTTTTCATATGCCACTTCTCACATGTGATTATTTTTTGTTGATGTTGTAGTTGAAGTTCATGCGCAAATGTGTTGCTTTTTTAAATTAATCTAGGATAATTGTATACAGTATGAGATACCTCTACGACTCTTAATGCGTAGTTAAATTAAAGTGACGTGATTTTTTCCCTCCGTGGTGTTAACTTATCTTTGAGGAAATATATTATCGAACCAACTTCCGATGATTTTGTTAATTTGGTTGATTGAATATTCTTTTGGCTCGTTTTCTTGGTTGATGGATTTTGTGAATGCAGTAATAACATAAGTATGATTTAATTATGGCAACCAGGATACATGTAATCTTGCACATGTATGCTTTTGAGTAGTGATCATGGAGAATGTGTGCACACGTGCAGTCAAATAGTCCTGAACAGTTAGTATTATTATATTTTTTTCGTTTCGCAACGTTAATGCCTGAATACTAAATTCATGATTATCAATTTGAATCAGTTCATCTGCATTATTTTAACTTTTTTCGTTCATTACGAACAACCATTTCTGCAAAAGTTCCGAGCCTCTTTTATTTAATCTATATTCGTTCTTATTTCCACCCAGTTTCATTTCTCATAATTATTGTCCTGTCCGTACGCTTGGTAGGTTTGCAAGCAGATCACACTGTTTATATGGTTCGTGGTTATGCGCCAGCTGCCCCTCCTCCAGCATCTGTTCCACCACTGCTGGAAACACCAACAATCCAGCTGTTCCTCCAGGTGGTGGCTCAGTTCCTGTGGGTGTTGGAGTAGTCAATACAGGTGCACCCTTATTTCCAGGGCTTGGCTTGGGAGCATTTGGGGGCACCGGACCATCGGGCTTATTTGGAAGTGGACTTCCTGAATTTGAACAGATGTAGCAACAACTCACTCAGAACCCTAACATGATGAGAGATATCATGAACACACCTGCTATGCAAAGCTTAACGAACAACCCAGAGATTATACGCAGTTTAATTATGAGTAACCCTCGGATGCGTGAGATAATTGACCGGAACCCTGAGCTTGCCCACGTTCTTAATGATCCCGAGTTGATGTGTGAGATGATGCGGAACACAGACAGGGCAATGAGTAACATTGAATCTTCTCCCGAGGGATTCAACATGCTCAGACGCATGTATGAAAATGTCCAAGAACCCTTCTTGAATGCAACAACAGCAGGTGGTGGTGGTACAGGCACTGGTGCTGGAACTAATCCATTTGGAGCTGTCTTGGGGAATCAAGCTGGGGCCCAAACCAGAGGTGAGGCGAACTCAAATTCTGGAACTGAATCTGGGACTACTGTGCCTAATTCTAACCCACTTCCTAATCCGTAAAGTAATACTGGTAAAAATCAGACGCTATTAGTGTGTCAATGGTTAATGTTATTATGTGTGGTTACTTTGTATCTCTAATTTCTCAATAGTTTGCGTAAGAACCTTATTGCCTTGCCTTGCACTTTCTTTATTTCATGGCCCAATCCTAATCTAGTTTAATGCATTCACCTCTTAATTGCTTATTGTAATCTTGCATCAATAATTTATTTATGCATGTTGCATGCCCATAAAATTCTCACAGAAAGTCTTAGGAAAACTAGATTTCATAATAAATCCATGTTTGAATTTGGATAGATTGTAATACGAATAATGTCTGTTTTGCAACGATGGTGTGGTCGTCATAGTGTTGCAATGAAGAGTGAATTTCAAATGACTAGGAGTCATTTGAAATCTCTCAAAATAATAGTTAAATTTCATTTAACTTCGAGGGTGAATTTTAAATCCTTCAACCTCTATTTTCATTCAACCATGTCTGTGGATATGGACTTGGGAATTTGAAACCCATAAAACCAAATCCCTCTATCCAAATACATCCTCAAGACATACATTGTTGGTTTCAATATGATATTTTGCCCTCTGGTTTACCTCTGATCTTAATGATCCCCTCTAGATATCTTTGCTCCTAGTTGTAATGATTCAAATGATTCAGGAGTTTCTCAAACAAATAGTGGCATGAGAAATAATACCACTGGCGATGCTGGATCTGGAGGTATTGTTCTCCCAGAATTGGGTCGTACAGGCATGACTGATCCCGCTGACTTCAGTCAGTTATTGCAAAATCCAGCTGTGGCGCAGATCACGCAAAGCCTGCTTTCCAATCCTCAGTACATGGAACGGGTACCAATATAGTTGCAGGCCATTGGTTGTATAATTTAACATTTGACTTCATGTAATGTAACGCTGAAATCAACATTTTATTGTAGATGTTGGGCTTTAATCCTCAACTCCGCAACATACTTGATATGAACCCTCAATTAAGAGAAATGATGCAAAACCCAGAAATTCTCTGTCAATTGACCTCACCGGAGATGATGCAGGTGTATCTGAAGCTCTTTGTACACTAGAGTTTTCTGATATGACTTCTTCTGTGGAGTTTATTGATTAAGTTGGGTGGGAGAGGTGGGTGATGCCTGCCTAATTTTGATTTTTTATGATAGTGAAAATTGATAGGTCATCTCGATAAGTTTTACCAAAATATGAATGCATCTAGAGATGCAGGAAACGAACCATATGGCATTTAATGTGGACTGACTCTGTGTATTCTGGTTGAAGTTCTCTTGCAATTAAATGCATCATTTTTAATATGGTAAGCCTATATGATCCTTGGCTCTTTCTCTTACATACAGTTCCTTTGTTGTTTCAGCAAGTTATGTCTTTACAGCAACAACTTTCCCAACTTACTCGGCAGCAGTCAACACCGTGAGTGAGAAATAACTTTTTCCTGCTTAATATAGATCATTCAGTTACATTTTGATTGCTTATGATGATTGTTATAGGGCGTATTTACAACTAGGGGGCGTCTTTATAGGTTATGAGGCATTGCATTTCTTCATTGAACGTTGTTATATTCTTTATATTTGACCTCATAGTAGCTACATCCCCGATTTCCTAAACATGAAAAACGTCAGTTTATTCGCACTTTTATCTGATGCTTCTTAACTGTAATTTTAATTTAAAGGTGGTTTGGCCCATACCTTTCATCACACACATTTTTTTTTGGTGAATGGCCTTACTGTTACCAAGTGCTCTTTGATGCATGGGATTATGTACTACTACTACTACAGTTTTTGTTTATTTGGAAAATTTGTCAATCATTCTTGTGAACCCTGCTTAATCTTCTTTTCTCAGGAACGAAGCTTAGACAGGTCAAGGTGGAGAGATATGAAAGCACCCAAAACTGGGAAAACACGCACACACACACACACACACACACACACACACACACACACACAATTTCCTATATTTTTTTACCATCCTTCAGTTTAGCCTATGCCACATTATTTTTTTTGGTGGTGTGTGCAGGAGCACAGAACAACATGGGTTTGGAGATGCTGATGAATATGTTTGGTGGCCTTGGNTTATCTTGGGCTTTCTTTTGACATTTCCTCTGATGATCTCCCAACATTGGCTTTTCCTATAGTACCCCCGAAGAACTGTATGCAATCCAGCTGTCTCAGTTGCAAGAGATGGGTTTTATCGACAATCAAGAGAATATCATAGCCCTTCGCGCCACTTCAGGAAATGTTCATGCAGCTGGTGAACGGCTTTTGGGGAACCTCGGTCAATAGCATATCGACACTTTTATTTACCGGCGTGTTATATTATACATGAGACACCATCATCTATTCTGTCCAGAAAATAAAATAACTGGTATCATTTTTCTTTTGCAGGGTTGTTAACTAGGTGGTATTACTCTTTATAAGATCTACAAATTCGACTCAAATGTACAGTGCATAGTACCTTAAAATATATACCTTAAAATATATACCTTAAAATATACCCAAAGTCTTGCAGAGACCACATTTTATTTGGATGAAATGAAATGGCTGCACTAAGAGTGTGATATTGATTATTACACCCTAGGGTGGTGTTGGATTTAATTTCAGATGAAAGTTCTTTCTAGTTAGGAAAGATTTGGAGGAAAACAATTGGCCTTGTTTTAGCTTTACACTCACTTATACTTGAATATAAATAAACAAGTGAAAAATAAAAGAAAAAAACTTAAATTTCTATCTCAAGCTTGTACCAAAGAAAAAAACACGAAAAAAAGCAAGATCCAAGTAGAAATTAATTGTGAGATGAAAAAAAAATGTGAGCCTATTTGAATATAAATAAACAAGTGAAAAATAAAAGAAAAAAACTCAAAAAAAAAAGCAAGATGGAAGTAGAAATTAATAATGTTATCGTTTTTCTTTTTTAATTTTTTATTTATATTAAGATCTTTTCACTTATCTTTCTGAGCATCATATTAAATTTGATTTTCAAATTTATAACTTAAATTAATAGTCTTATTATATTTCTAGGTCTTGCATTTATTTTTTAAATTGATAATTATTTCTTTTATCATATCAGAAATTGATAAAAACTCTTACGGTGAAACAAAGGATCAAAAACTTTGTCATAATAAAAACTAGTACAATACCCATGTAAATACACGAGTGTTGAATTAGGAAGCATATCTAAAAAACAATAATTTTTTTAAACTAAAATAATTTAATTTTATATAAAACATTACTTTGAGTTTTAATTAAATTGTTAAATTATATTTTTTTAATCATAATAATTAAACACTCGTATATTAAATGAAAATATCAACTCATATTAAATTTTTTTGTACTTATATCATATAAAATTATCGATATTATTTACTATTATTAAGTAAAAAAATATATATCTTAAATAAATAGAAATAATATGGTGATATGTATATGCATAAGTGCAGAAATATGTTCGTTTAATATTAAGCAAAATATATTTATTTTTTACATAATTAGATGTCTAATACATCAAGTGTAGTATCCATTGTGCTTCACATTTTTCGAACTTTGTATGTAATTTTAGAATTTAGATAAATAATTATTTATTTTTATTAGATTGATAACATACCAATTAGATTTGAAATAAATATCATTTTTAAAATAATACATACCAATTTCTATTACTTTGTAATATAATTTATAGTTTTATTTGATATCTTTTAATTTAGTTTGATAAATAAACTTAAATTTTATTTATAAGAATATATATTACTATTTTGTATTATATATATATAATATGAATGTCAAATCAAAAATCGTTAAAAGATAGTTAATTTGATATATCATATATAAAAAATCAAATACAAACAAAAAAGTTATAAAATCTTAAAATAAGAAGAAGAAACGTTTATAGCTAATGAATGAATTAAATAAGAAAACGAAATGTAATGTATGGTAATATAGGAAAAAAAATAGAAAATAATTTATGGGAACTAATTGTAGAAATAAAGAAGGAAAAAATCAATCATAGATTTAGGGTGATAAAAAATACTCCCTCTTTTTTTTAATAAGTGTCGTTTTGAGAAGTTGCACGGTAATTAAGAATATTTTTTTGTCAGTAATAACCATCATTAATGAGGATAGAGATGAATGTTTTGAGAAAAGATGAAGAGTGAATATAAAAAGACAAGGGTAATAATAGAAAAATATGTACAAAAGATCCAAAACGTCATTTATTTTGTTAATTGTTGATAAAGCCAAAATGACATTTATAAAAAAAAGGAGGTAGTATTAATTTATATTCAAGTCTAACTCCAAAACATGGTTTTCTGTCAAATAGGATTTCGAAGCGTGAGAGTTTGCGCTCAACCTATTATGAAATTATGTATAGAGGAGATTTTTAGGATTCTATAATATCATTAATATATTAATTAATTGTTAGTTTTAATAAAGGAAAAATTACATTTTGATTCACTCAACTTTTTCCGGTGACACTTTACCCTTTGAACTTCAAATATTCTTGCACTTAACGACTTTCGGCCACCGGAGATGCAAAATCAAGGGCAAAGTACAAAATCGCGGATAGTTCGGTAGCAAAGTGTACTCGTGAAAGATTAATCTGAGGTGTCCGAAGACGTAAATGACGATTTTGCCCTTGATTTTGCATCTCCTGTGGCCGGAAGTCGTTAAGTGCAAAAATATTTAAAGTTCAAGGGATAAAGTGTCACCGGAAAAAGTTGAATGGACAAAGTGTAAAAACGCAGATAGTTCGATAGTCAAATTTTTCCTTTAGTAAAAATGAGACATCAAGGAAGAGAAAAGAATATTCTCACCAGTGTAAAAAAGTAAAAACCATCATTTTCTTCCCCTAATAAATATAAACAAATTTCCAATTGCAAGTGCTCTGTACAACATTTCCTCAATCCCCAACTTCTGCCCCCTTTATTTCCTTTCTCGATTGGAAGACAGATCGAGGCTGCAATTCAACTTTAAAGCTAGGGTTAGGGTTTTTGATTGTTGTTCTCGATTTTAGCGACTGAAATTAACCAATGGGGGCTGAGGCTGAGTCTAGCTTGGGCGTTGCGGGTGCCGAGGAGGTGAATATAAATATTCGAGGCTCAAACGGCTCTAAATTCTCGGTGAAAACGAGCCTCGAATCGACGGTGGCCGAATTTAAGGGTGTGTTGGCGCAGAACTGTGACGTGCCCGCTCAACAGCAGCGTCTGATCTACAAAGGTCGGATCTTGAAGGACGACCAAACCCTGGCTAGCTATGGTAATTTTTCCGATTGTTTATTTTTTTTATGAATTTTTGTTTGTTGCGATAAATTTGTATTAATTTTGCATGCTTTGCTTGCTTAGCTGTAGTTGATTGCTTTATTTGTTTGTTCACCTGTTAGGAATTGTGAGAATAATCTTGATTTGATTATGAAAATTGACTTTTGTGGGTGACTAGAAACAATAAGCACGAGCAAATTAACTCTTATGCATGTGTAGTTAAAACTTCTAGACTGTTGTTGCTAGAGTCTCTGAACATTTACACTTAGGGAGATACTTGGTAAGAAATAGATAATGCCAGACTGGGTAAACAAGGGAGGGAAAGTAGTTATAGCTGGATTCCATGATTATTTTCAGTATTCCACTAATTGCAATGACGGTAATAATGAAAAAAAAAAGTGATGGATGCTGCTGACTTAATTGATGGTAAGTCAACACTTGGGCTAACTGTGGATTTTAGATTTCCTGTGCTACTTCTCACATTTGAACATTGTTCTTGATGTTTTTGTTGAAATTTATGGCAGTTGTGCGGCTCTCAAAGCTTACTTGATAATCGTATGCAGTATGAGATACCTCTACGAATCTTAACACATAGTTAGACTAAAGTGACATAATTTTTTCCCTCGGCGGCATAATACAATGATTGTTAGTTTTGTTCGTTGAATATTCTTCTGTCTCTTCCGTCAAGATGGGTTTTTGCGAATGCAGTAATAACATTACTATTACCTAATTATGACTACCGGGACACTTGTAATCTTGCATATGCATGCTTTTGAGTAGTGCTAATGGAATCGTGGGCATGCGCGCAGTTCAATAGGCCTGCCTAGTCAGTTATATTATGTTTCTTTCTTTTAAAACTTTAAAGCCTGTATACTAAATTCATGATTATCAATCTGAATCACTTCATTCAGTGTTGTTTCACTTTTTCGTACTGTATTCCAAAGTCTCGAGCCTTTTTAAGTTCATCAGTCTTTTCCTTATTTCAGCTGCATGTATGTTCATTTGCATGTATGTTCATTTTCCTGGTAAATAATGGCCTGTCCGTAAATTTGAATAGGTTTGCAGGCAGATCACACTATTCATATGGTTCGTGGTTCTGCCCCAGCTGCCTCTCCTCCCGATTCTGTTCCCACCAGTGCTGGAAACACCAACACCAACAGCCCAACTGTTTCTCCTGGTGGTGGCACAGTTCCTGGAGGGGCTGGGGTGGCTGGTACAGGTGCACCCTTATTTCCAGGGCTAGGTTTGGGAGCATTCGGGGGAACCGAAGCATCAGGCTTATTTGGTAGTGGACTTCCTGAATTTGAACAGATGCAGCAGCAACTCACTCAGAACCCGAACATGATGAGGGATATCATGAACACACCAGCCATCCAAAGCTTAATGAGCAACCCTGAGATCATGCGAAATTTAATTATGAGTAACCCTCAGATGCGTGAGATAATTGACAGGAATCCTGAACTTGCCCACGTTCTTAATGATCCTAGTATCCTTCGGCAAACATTAGAAGCTGCAAGGAACCCTGAGTTGATGCGTGAGATGATGCGGAACACAGACAGGGCAATGAGTAACATTGAATCTTCTCCCGAGGGATTCAACATGCTGAGGCGCATGTATGAAAATGTCCAAGAACCCTTCTTGAATGCAACAACAGCAGGTGGTGGTGGTGGTACAGGCACTGGTGCTGGAACTAATCCATTTGCAGCTCTCTTGGGGAATCAAGCTGGTGCCCAAACTAGAGATGGGTTAAACTCAAATTCTGGACATGAGTCTGGGGCTGCTGTGCCTAATTCTAATCCACTTCCCAATCCATGGAATAATACTGGTAAAGCTAAACGCTTTAGTGTGCCAACGGTCATGGTTATTATATGCTTGATAGCTTATGGGAGGTTAATATCCTGTTAATTCTTCAATAATTTGTTAAGAACCTTATCCCCGTTCTATACACTTTCCTTATTTCATGACACGGTTCTATGTAGTTTAAAGAGTTCACCTCTTAACTTTTGCTACATTCTTGGGTAGTTTTTGTTAGAACCGCACAGCCTTTCTGTGCTATTTCCTTCTTTCTGATGCAATCTCATGTAGTTTAAAGCATTCACCTCTTAATTGCTTATGTTCATATTGCATTAGTAATTTATCCATGCATGTTGGATGCTACTGGAAGTGAGGAGTTCGAGGACTCTTGTTCTTGGATCAAGATCAAACACAAATGCCAACTTTATTTACAGCTATATCCAATAAGTTTGACATCTTTATTATTGGATTAGTTTAGGAAATCATTCAAGTCATACATCATGTAGTTTTAAATATTACATTTTGTCCTCTGCTCTATCGCTGTACCGTAATTATCTTCTTCTCTGGATATTTTTGTGCTCCTGTTTGTAATGTTTTAGGAGGTTCTCAAACAAATATTGCTAGGAGAAGTAATCCGACTGGCGATGCCAGACTACCTTCAATTGCTGGATTGGGAGGTATTGGTCTCCCGCAGTTGGATCGTACTGATCCCGCTGCATTCAGTCAGTTATTGCAAAATCCAGCTGTGGCGCAGATCACACAAAGCCTGCTTTCCAATCCTCAGTACATGGAACAGGTACAAATATAGTTTCGGGCCTTTGGTTCAATATTATTCCATTTGACTTCAAGTTATGCTGTAAGTAACAATTTTATTGTAGATCCTGAGCCTTAATCCTCAGCTTCGCAGCATGCTTGATATGAATCCTCAATTAAGAGAAATGATGCAAAACCCTGAAATTCTTCGACAATTGACCTCACCTGAGACAATGCAGGTATACATCCAATCCTCTTTATTCACTTGAGTTAACCTCATTATGGTTTCTTCCGTGGGTTTATTTTAGGTTTATTTGGGAGGTGGGGGGTGATACCCTTCCTGATTTGGAACCTTGTGTTTTAACAGCAAAATTAAATTGATACAATCATCTGCCAAAATAATCCATCTAGGGATGTGGCGAACAGACCACAAGACAAATGATGTACACTTATATGGGATTTGATGTGGACTCTGTATTCTGGTTGAAACTTGAAGTGGTCGTGCTATGTTAATGCATAGGGTTTTGAATTTGATAAATCCTATACGATCTTGTGCCTTACAAGAATGTTATTCCTTTATTGTTGCAGCAAATGATGACTTTGCAACAACAACTTTCTCAACTTACTCGACAGCAGACACCGTGAGTGAGAAATAACTTTTTTTTTTCTGCTCAATATAGGTCATCTAGTTTTATTTTGATTACTACCGATGTCAGGGATATAGCATATCCATTATCCATAGATAAAAGGTCACTTCATAGGATATGATGCATTGGAATTCTTCATGGGATGCCGTGATATTATTTATAGTCAACCTTGGAATGGATACGTCCTGATTTCCTAAACATGAAGAAAGGCAACTCTTTCGGCTGGCGATTTGCATTACACCTTTAGTTTTTTCTTTTCCATGTGCTGCTTCTTAACGGTTGTTTTGACATAAGTGGTGTGACCCTTAGCATACGTTACTGTATGTTTTCTTGGATGGTCGTCTAGAGGGGCCTTCTTTTTGTGGATGGCCTTACTATTTCTATTTGCGTTTACTACGTGTATTTATTTACTGTGCTATTAAACACTTTGTTTATTTGGAAATTCACTACTCAGCTTAATCTCCTTTCTTCAGGAATGGAGCTGAGACTGGTCAAGGTAGAGAAATATGAAGCACCCAAAACTGGAATACACGCACTCACTCTCTTTCTTTTTATTATTATTATTCTTATGGATGAGATTTTCCATTACCTTTTTTCCTCCCTTCAATTTAGCCGATGCCACATCATCATATATNTTAAACATGCAGGAGCACAAAGCAACATGGGTTTAGAGATGCTGATGAATATGTTTGGTGGACTTGGAGCTGGCGGGTTTGCGGCTTCGAACAATCCTAATGGTTAGAACTCACCGCACACTTGTTTTTTAAATTTGCTGTTTTTCTTACATATTTTTGCTGATAATTTCATCGTTGCTTGTTCGGTTAGTACCCCCAGAAGAACTGTATGCAAGCCAGCTGTCTCAGCTGCAAGAGATGGGTTTTTACGACACTCAAGAGAATATCAGAGCCCTCCGTGCCACTTCAGGAAATGTTCACGCAGCTGTAGAACGGCTTTTGGGAAACCCGGGTGAATAAGTCTCTCGACACTTGTATTTACAGGCAGAGCATATTACATGATACAACACCTTCTATTCTGGCTCGAGAATTTTAAGTTCATCTTTTTTATTAAAATGGGAGATTAAAATATGACTTCAGATCAAAGACTCATGAATCTGCACCAGTGTACAGCGCACACCTGATGAGTCTTGCAGATTAGCCACATTTTATTTGGATAAAAATGGCTGCACTATTTATTGTGTTTTAACAATACACACATTTCATTTTTAACTGTGCGCATAACGGACAGGTTTGTAGTTCTACCGAGTAGATGCATGCGGTGTATTGCTTGCTTCTCAGGCGTGTGCTATTGAGTATTGATTGTTATTATAATGCCCAGACCTTATTGGAATTTAAACCTTCTCTTCTCCCCTTTTATACACTAATGCTGTCCTTGTAAGTGTGGTAGTTTCCTTCTCCTAAGCAAATGAACAATATAATCTGATTTCATTTCTAATTTATGCATCGATTAGAAGCTACACAAAAATTACTAGAGATGGGCCCTCATTTTTATAGTGTTTACATTCTTCAAGGAAAATTTTTTATTTTTAAGGTGAGCGATTATACTTTTAAAAATATTGGGTAAACAATGTTAAGTAATTGATTTGACGATTTTAAAAAAGAAAAAAAATTCAAAATAAGCTTTATTTGGATCAATACTTCAAGCAAGAAACTCGTATAATATCATTATTATTTATTACAGTCATAGAAGTAATATTTTTTTTATACATATAATGATAAATATTTAATGTATATTAATACTATTATTTATTGATGTACTTAATTTAAAAATATATAAGCAAATTTAATATTTTGTGAGGAATGTGATTATATGTAAGTTAAGATAAAATGAAATGTATTTATAAAAATATGCTTATGATATTTTCCTTTAAATGTTTGAATGAATTTGAAATTCAAATTACAAATCAACCGTCAATTTTTAAAGAATTTCAAAATGTTACCAAATGTAGTAAAATAAAAATTATTAGTCAGGATTTTACTTTCTACTTAAAGTAAATCCCTATTACTATTTCATATTAATAGATTAATGAAAATATATGTTCATGATTATCTCTTTACCTAATTTGTATTTAAAGATCTACCGCAATTCATAAAATTTTAAGAAAATAATTTATACAAAATTGGAAATATATGTTCATGATTATCTCTTTACTTAATTTGTATTTAAAAATCTACCGCAATTCATAAAACTTTAGGAAAATAATTTATACAAAATTTAAATTGAATGCAAAAATATTTGGGCATGAAAAATTATGAAACTTTCAATTATAGGTGATGCCTATTGTATTATAGTATTGCGTAAAATAATGTATCATACTTTTTTTTTTTCTTGAAAATTTAAATTTGGAAGCATAAATATTTGAAAATAAGATTTACTTTGAAAATGGTAGATCTTGGAAGCATAAATATTTGAAAATAAGATTTACTTTGAAAATGGTAGATATTTGAAATGAAGAATCTAAAATGTAAAAAATTTGTATAAAAAATATCAATGGTTGAATACTTAAAATTTTAAATTGGACATTTGGTAATGTCTCTTTCATTTGCTAAATCAAATTTGTTTGAACCGAATGTTGATTTGGGGTGTCCTCTGAAGTTGGTTTCACACATTTCTTAAAAAACAAAATTATTTTTACAATATTTCCTTAAAAGGGAAGTCAACCCTTTAATTAAAAAGTTAAAGTTACTATTTATGTATTTTTCCAACAGCTTTTTTATATTAGTGTAGATAAATTAAAAATCGCGATCAACTTACAATTAATTTGTGAAATTATGTAACTCATATTCATTCTCTAAAAACGCGCGACACCAATATAGCGATAAAAGAGAGGGTAATTTACATACATCCTATACGTTTTATAAATAATTGCAATATACGGTTGGCAACAGATAATTTATATCAATACCCAACTCTTCCAAAATAATTATACTATTACATAAAATTTGTTTCCAAATGAGAAACGTGCCTTAAAAACCAGAAGTGATTAATGAAAGAGAAAAAAAATTGTTACATTTGGTAATGTATAAACTAACCATCTCTCTCTCTCCTCGAAGATTGTTAGAGATTTTAGGCCTTCCAACAATGTCGCAGCGGTGGCCGGTGGAGATTGAAATCGCTCCCAAAATATAATTATTTTTTTTTCCTGTAAATTTAGGTTTTTCTTATGATTTTTTGTGAGAATTTTGGGGAGGATGATGTTTGAGAAATTGGATGGATGTAAATGGCGGGTATAAGGGGGAAGGTTTTGGAATTTCACCTGTCGGGTGGAAGAGGAGGGGCAAGTATCAGGATTCATGGAGGGGGAGGAAGTCATTTGGGAAAAAGACGAGCAGTTTATGTATAGATAATATACACCAAATATAATTTAAATATACTTTAAATATACACTAGAGTTTCAATTGTTTCTCAAAATCGATTTAAGAACTCACATATACATAAAATATACATAAGATATACCCTCGAGATTCTCAGAATCAAGCACTAACAGATCAAGACACACATATACATAAAATATACTATCGGTACTGTTTAATTGTCTCTCATTTCAGAACCCAGATTAGGAGCCGAAACTGTAGCCATGGCCCTTGTCTCTGCATCCGCAGGCTCACTCGACGGCGACGGGCGTATCTCGGTGGCGTCGCCTCGGTCGGCTGAGAATTGTGCGACGGGGAGAAGGAGATGGATTCCGCCATCGAGAATCTACCCCCATCATCGGAAAATCGTCGCTCGTGTACCATCATTACGCTCGAGAAGTCGTCGGTGATAAAGACTTGGAGAAGTCGCGAATCAGCATGCTCGATTCTCTCCGGTAGCAAGTTGTCGAGGAGCCGCAAACAGAAAAAAAAAAGAAAAAAAAAACTCTGGTCGTATAAACTTGTAGAAGAAGAAGAGAGAGAGAAGGAGAGTTATTTGGAATGTGATAAAATTTTTACCTTTAATTACGCATAAAGAAAATTTCTCCAGATTTAATCTTTAATGTGGTATTTGTGCAAATAAAATCAATAGATTATATTAATATGTTAATATTTTTTAGGGGATTATATTTATGTAATAAAAACATAAAGGGACCGTACCTGGTGCAAATTCCTCTAAGAGAGATGGGATAAACAGTGGGGTCCTGAAAACCGCCTACAGAGACGAGCGCGCATTTTACACTTGTAACCCCAAATTTCATCAAATTATATTACGGTGGGAATTGGTTGAAATAACCTTCCAAAGTAAAAAAATTGGCCAAATGACCTTTGACTGGAAAGGAAAAAATAAACTTAAAGAAAAAATGACATTGAAGATACAATTACTAGTATACCACTTAACATAAATCTTAGATTTTAAACTGATTCCTTCCTTCCTTCCCCTATTTCCTAATTCGGCTCCTTCATTCTTTTGCTTCTGGCGACAGGTTCAAAAAAAAAAAAATCTTCGAAGACTCGCTCGTCTCTCGGACCTCTCTCGCTCTCTCGGCTCTCTCTCTCACGCTCTCTCGGCTCTGTCTCATGGAACTCTCTATTGTCAATGTTGGTAAGAATTTTTTTTTGGGTTCATTTTGTTTTTCATTTTTTCTTAAATTTTTTTTGGTAAGGGTATAATGATATTGATCCCTTTGTGTTTAGAATTATTTTCCAAGCATGCTAGATTTATTAAGTTGAAGAAGAAAAATGAGTTTATGTGTTATGTGTTAATTGAAGAAGAAGATGTTGAAGAAGAATTTTTTGATCTTGAAGAATGATGTTATGTGTCATGTGTTATGCTAGATTTATTAAGTTGAAGAAGAATGTATTATGTGTTTAAAGAGATGAAAATGGGGTTAATTGTTTAATATGTGTTATGCATGAAAGTGAGGTTAATTGTTGAAATGCTTGTAGGATTGAGTTGGTGAATTGGTGCACTCTATGTGTTTGATGAAAATGCTTGTAAGGTGAACTCTATGTGTTTGATGAAATGATTGTAGGATTGAGTTGATCAACTGAAAATAACGAGACTTCTACGTTTGTAATGTAATATATAACGAATGTACATTCGTTATAGGAATTGTGGAAACGACTATATTCTTGTAAATGAAAGAGAAGGCTTGGGTGGTATATTTTGTGTTATGTAGAGACCTTACATGTTGAGCCATGTTATGTGTGCAATCTTGCTGTATATGTTTATTTTTTAGGCTAAGTTTTAGTTTTGGTGGACTTAACCTATTGGATAAAGTTTGAGGAATATTGACCTAAGAAAAGAAAACAAAGGGAATTTGTTTTTGCCTTGGCTCTATGTTGTGTTAAGGCTTTTTTGTGGCTTTTAGAATCTAGTATCCAAAATGTTCCTTTATCTTAAATCGTCTTTGTTTAAAAATATAAAAAAAGGGGTAAATTGGTATGCTTCCTATTGTTTTGTTCGCAATGTATACATGTATGGTGTATCTCTTGAATTGATGTAAGTTAAGGATTTTAGCATTGTGTCATAGGTTATTCTTCTAAGTTTCAACTTGTAGGAGAGGTGCATGTTGAGTAGTATTTGACCTTGTTAGAATGAAATATTTTAAGGCTGTTACATGTATGAGTTTTGATAAGCCAATATTTAGTCAAGCTTCAGTTTAATAGCATGCTTTAAGGTTGTTAAGTTCAAAGAATAAAAGAAGCTCGATATAGAATAAAGAATTGTTTTATTAGTATCCTTTAGAAATGAGTTAACTTATAACTTTAACGAGTAAAATATCGTCATATTGTATTATATTGTGAATGTATAGGTGTATTTAATTGACCGAGATAAAAATATACCTAAAATGAAGATTCATTTGTTATGGTGTATGAAATAACGAATGTACATTCTTATGTCTTAAATTAAAACCAATAACGAATGTACATTCTTATGTATAGGTGTTTTTAATTGACCGAGTACTTTACAACAATTGTTATAGTAATTTTGGAAATGACATTATATACCTAATTTTAGCTCTTTGTTTGATCTATTTAAGTTCAATGTTAGTAAAATATTGCTTGTTTGATCTATTATGAAACTTGGTAATGTAATAGAATTTGTACATTAATGTTGCATGTTTGATTGTGGGATGTTTATAATCAAGTTTATAGAATTTTTGCATGCTGGGAAGAATGTTGAAGGCGTAAATCAATCTAGGATTAGTGTTTGGCGTGTAAAACTAGCTTCATTTTGATCCATAGTTTGTTTTAAACATTCAATATGTAACGGGTTGTAGGGATCTTTTGGATAATACATTTTTGTATTATATTTCATGTGTTTTTCAATGCAATGATGCAGATGGTCGATTTTTTAAGTTGTATTTTTTCGTACTTCCCAATGCAGTGGTTATAATAGTATTTTATCAAATGGTTAAAAATATTACTGTAACGAGAAGTTTTAATGTAATAAATAACGAAGGGGTTCGATGCCGAGCTCCCGAAAATAAGTCGAGGAACCGATTACAAGTCGTTTCAAAAATAACAAGTGTACAATCGTTATTTTTTATGAAATAACGAATGTACATTCGTTATTTTGAAAAATAAAAAATAAAACATGCTTGTCCCTGGCGCGACGTCCGTCGCGGCCGCGACGTCCTAGCAACCTTCTCTGTTTCACCAAGAACAGGGCCTAGTGTCGCGACCGTGACATGTAGTCGTTTCAACATAACGATTGTACAAGCGTTATTTGATATGAAATAACGAATGTACATTCGTTATTGTGCAAAAGAAAAAAAAAAAAACTTGCTTGTCGCGGGCGCGACGTCTGTCGCGGCCGCAATGTCCTGGCAACCTTCTCTGTCCGACCAAAAACAGGGCCAGTGTCGCTCCCGCGACACATGTCGCTACCGCGACATATAGTCGTTTCAATATAACGATTGTACAATCGTTATTTTGTATGAAATAACGAATCTACATTCGTTATTTTGAAAAAAAAAAAATAAAACTTCCATGTCGCGGGCGCGACGTCCGTCACGGCCGCGACGTCCGTCACGGCCGCGACGTCCGTCATGGCCGCGACGTCCTGGCAACCTACTCTGTCCGACCAAGAACAGGGCCAGTGTCGCGGTAGCGACGGATGACGCGCCCGCGACAAACGTTCGATTTGAAATAACGATTGTACATTCGTTATTTTGTATGAAATAATGAATGTACATTCGTTATTTTGAAAAACATGACGAATATACTCTCGTGATGGTTATTTTGATCTCGGTCGATTATAAGGAAATCAATAAAATGTTACTCGCTTTAATTCCGGATATGTAACACTAATATACATGCGTTATCAAGTAATTCGATCGAAAAACCATAACGAAAACGCATTTATGTCGAAAAACAACAATAACGAATATACATTCGTTATAATGAATGCACATTCGTTATGGTTGTTTTTTCGACCAAATCCACCTTAAACGACCGTGCATTCGTCATATAATACATTATAAAGATATTAAACTCGTTATATGTCTAATTTTGGTCATTTTTAAGTTAAAATAACGAATTTACAAAGATATTACATGATCTTTCCATTTTTTAAAACAAGTATTGTGTTTTCAAAAAAAGAGTTTTTATGAGTGTTTCGACGCTCTAACACCTTCAAACTATCGTTCCGATGACATGTAACAATAATATACGATCGTTATCAAGTAATTCGATCGAGAAAACCATAAAGAAAGCGCGTTTGTGTTGAAACAACAATAACGAATGTACATTCACCTTAAACGACCGAGCATTCGTCATATAGTACATTATAAAGATATTAAACTCGTTATAGGTCTAATTTTGGTCATTTTTCATGTAAAATATCAAATTTACAAAGATTTTACATTCATTATATTCATTTTTTATTAAAACAAAAAAACCAAGTGTTGTTATTTCAAAAAGAAAAGAGTTTTGTGATGAGTGTTTCGATGCTCCAACACCTTCAAACTATCGTTCCAATGACACGTAACATGAATATACATGCGTTGTGAAGTAATTTGAGCAAAAAACCCATAAAGAAAACGCGTTTTGTTACGAAAAACAACTATAACGATTGTATATTCGTTATAGTATTGAAAAAACGAATATAATGTGCATTCGTTATGGTTGTTTTTCGTAACAAATGCACCTTAAACGACCGTGCACTCGTCATATAACACATTATAAAGATGTTAAACTCGTTATGGGTCTCATTTTGGTCATTTTTCATGTAAAATATCAAATTTACAAAGATTTTACATTCATTATTTTCATTTTTTATTAAAACAAAAAGACCAAGTGTTGTTATTTAAAAAAAAAAAAAGAGTTTTGTGATGAGTGTTTCGACGCTCCAACACCTTCAAACTATCGTTCCAATGACACGTAGCATGAATAGACATGCGATGTGAAGTAACGACGATATTTTTTCCTTAAAAAGAAATAATTCAAGTAATTTCGATCGAAATACTACAATAACGATTGTTAGTTTTATCTATTTTCTTAAAAAAACTAATAGCTTTCGTTATTCATAGTGAAATACTATAACGAGAGTTAATTATTCGTAAAGCCATACATAACGAATGAATATGTGTATGTAACGACGATATTTTTTCCTTAAAAAGAATTAATTCAAGTAATTTCGATCGAAATACTACAATAACGATTGTTAGTTTTATCTATTTTCTTAAGCAAACAAATAACTTTCGTTATTCATAGTGAAATACTATAACGAAAGTTAATTATTTGTAAAGTCATACATAACGAATGAATATGTGTACATAAATAATTCAAGTAATTTCGAACGAAATACTACAATAATGATTCTTATTTATATATAATTTGTAAAACAAACATATAACGAGAGTGCATTCTCCCTAACGTCATACATAACGAATGACTATGTGTACTTAATCGACCGTGATGAAAATAAAACACTAACGATAGTACTTTCGGTATAATTTATTAAATAACAAATGTATATGTATCATTTATTACTCGATAACGAGTGTACCTTCTTTGTGGTTTGTATTTTCTTCCCGGACGATGAAATACACCTATGCATTCGCTATATAATAAAATTAAATAATTAAATAACTTTTTATGAACTATTATTATTATAATAAAATTAAATAATTATATTTTAAAACAAACAACTTTCATTATCTCTTTAAAATTTTTTGGTATAGGTAGTGATTCCTAATGTCATTTATAACGAATGTATATGTGTATTTTAATCGATCGGGATGAAAATAAACACTAACAAGAGTATTTTAGTTATAATTTATAATTACATTAGTTATGGCATAATGAATCTACATTCGTTATATCATAAAAAAAAATGAAACTACATTCGTAATGTCATAACAAACCTACACTTAGATATATTATTCAGATAGCGAATCCACATTCGTTATAAAACAATCACACAACAAATATGCATTCTTTATGAGTTATTCTTAAAATAACGATTGTACAATCGTTATCAAGCTAAGATAACGACTGTATATTCGTTATTCATATCATGAACTAAAAGATGAAAAAAAATACCCTTCATGGCACAAAAAACATGATAAACATAAACTAAAAATGTTTATAATATTTTTTATGAACTAAAATGCTTATCAAATTAAAATAACAACAAACCCTACCAAAAAAAATTTCTTCCTCCTTTCTTCAAAATAATATATTGTTTTGGTCTTCTTCTACCATCAACACATTTGTTTTGCCATTTAAAATTTAAAATTTATAAAGTTTTTTTTTTTTTCTTCTTCTTGAAAAGAATAAGAATCAGAAAAGAGAATGAGGAGAAGAAATCTCGACCAAGAACGACCGAACTTCTATTGAAAATCTTTTTGTTTTTTTTAATTATATAAAGACATTTTTGGTATTTTAAATATTTATTTATCTTTATTTAATAGAAGGGTCATTTGAACAAAAAAACATTTTCAATAGGTCTTTTAAATAATATTGGGCTTTGACTATCCCTATTAAACAAACATCTACGTCTCCTCTTCTCTTTCTCTCTCTGTGTATGTATACATGTACTGATGTACGTATATCTGTGGCTGCTCAGGCTCTCCGTCCTCAGCCTCCTCAACTGACGCAATCCACATTCCCACCTGCATTTGTAAGCTCCTTCATCACTTTGCTTGTGCCCTCGAATTTGTTTTCTAATTAATCATCTCTTTGTGCTAAAGTTTTGCTTTGTGTGCTGAATGATGTGATAAACTGTTCAATTCTTGCTGCGTATGACTCTCATCTACACACATTCAACCATTACTTCTTTTACATTTATTACACCGCTTTCTTTTGTTTCGTTTTAATTTTGGCTAAATTCTATGAGCTACTGAAATGTGGTGNAGCCTTAATATTATTTAGTAGACTGGTAGTTGATGATTCATGTTTGGTTTTATTTTTCTTGTTTTATTTTCATGGAATGACAGACTTAGACCTTCTCCAACGGTACTGGAAAACTGATCGCAAACAAGAAATTTCTCTCCAATGGAACTGCAAAACCCAAGGCAAAATGCGTTGTTGGCTCTTTTTCTCTCTCCTGAAACGCAAATTTGCGTCGCACTGTTCCAAGACGCAAATGTTTGCAGAATTTGTATTTCATACCCTTTTGTTTGCTTCATGTTTTATTTATTAACCTAATCTATATATATATATATATATAATGGTTTTGAATATAGATTAATATTGCTTTTTATTTTATTTTAATGTTTTAATACTTTCTATATATGATTTTTTATTTTTTTAATTACAATTTAATATTTTGAAAATAACTTCATATATTCATATAACAATTAGATTATTCAATATGCTTTTGAAAAAAAAAATACAAACCATATACTAAAATATACTTTGAATTAAAATATTGTTTTATTCGTTTTATTATATATTATTAGTGTTTTGTTTTTAAAAAAAAGTTACAAACCATATTAATATTAAAAAGACTACTAATTTAACAAATAAAAAAGACATTAATATTACCAAATTAGTTATAATATTGAAAGATAACATAGAACAACAGAAAATAAAAATACATAATAAACCATGAAAATTAGTTATACTATTCATTCCTCTTATTTTATTATGTATATATATGATTATTACTTTATAATTAGTATATTACATAAAGTCCAAATTGAATTGAAAATAATAGTGTGGTTTAATTTGTAAAGTTGTAAAATATGTGGGTAGTATTGAAAAGTTGTAAAAGTTGATGTAAAATAGAATATTCCGAGAATATTCTTTTGGGTTGGAAAATGGGTTTTTCGGTTGGAGATGAATTACTGCAAAATGGGATTTGTACTGCAAAATGGGTTTGAGTTTGGTGTAATCCGTTGGAGATGCTCTCATATTAGAAATTGCTGGATTTGTGTGTATGAAACCCAGTCAAAATTCTATTGGGATGGCAGATAGTGAATATGTTGCTGGTGAAGTTGTTAAGATTTCTGGAGCCAAAGGGCCCGTATCGTAGTTTACGAAGAGATCTCCAAGAAGCAGTGCTGGGAGAGGGCACATTGTGTATGTTTGCAGAAAACGTGAAACAGATTCAAGAAAGAGCAACATTTGTGAGACCCAAATAAGCAGTTCTCATTCGATGAAGTCTACACCAACTCACAGGTCTACTAAGGTGAATAAATCCGTGACTTGCGCGCCTGATGCTGCACCTCTTCCCATGGCTTCTTCACCGGGTTCCTCATCCACGAAATTCTTGGTTTCTTCTTCTATTGGAACCCCTGATAATGCCACACCAGCAGAAAATTCTGATCATGTCCATGTGAACAGTACAAATACTTCCCCTGAAGATATGGCAAAAGTGAATGTTGATGCACCCTGGGTAGAACGATATCGCTCCTTGTTGAGTTTGTTGAAAACTTTGGATCAGTCGGACAAACATGAATATGTTCAGAGTATATATGACCTTTCATTTTATATTTTCTTATTTAATTATTTCTATAATTTCTAATGAGTTTATTGTTCTTAAATGTCTTCGGTCGTTGTCCTCTGTTGAGCTCAGCAGGCAAGCTGTTCAACTTGAGAAACAATCAATGAAGCTTTCAATGGAGGAAGGTATCTTCTTTTGAACTAAATGGATGTTTTTATGTTAATTTTGTGGTGTGAGATGGTTCTGTTATTCTGCCATCTGCACTTGATTACTTCCGTTTTTCCCTTCTGTGCTTATGCATAATTCGCTGAGCTATCGGTACAATGCTCGCCATGAACAGTTTCATGACGGTTTCCAAACTGTAAGGTCAACTGATCACATGACTGATTTGAATTGTGTTGTCTTTTACCCTTTTGCGTCACCTCGGTCAAAAGTTACGAGGGAAGTTCATGATTAAGAAAATTTCATGATGAGGTTATTATATGACTTTCTGTTTCTGCTTGTTTTTTTCTGCAATTACACATAAGATCACCACAAATATTATAAGAGACGAGTTGACGTCGCAAACTGTTGGGAAAAATACGCTGAATTTTCCATGAAGTCGGATCTATAAAAGTGAAATAAAATAAATATTTGGACACACCAAATTGATAACGGAGTTCGGCCAATAATGCCTACGTCTCCGGACTACTGCAGATATTTTATTGGGAAAAAGAAAATACACTCGTGTTTACAAAACACTCTCGAAACTCACTCACAACTCACAACTCAAAAATACACACAAATACTAAATTATTTTTTTTTTAGCTCACTCTCTTTTCTATCTCTCTTGTATTTTGTGTGTGTTTGGTGTGATTTTTGTTCATTAGGATCCTCTCTATTTATAGAGAAGAAGTGCATCTTTTTTTCCACAAAGGTGTACTAATTTTTCCACAAAACACAGCACCGTGGCTGCTGCAATTTTCCAAGAAATGGGGCTGTCAAGTTTTTCCAAATTTGGTTGCTCATTTAACAATCTCCCACTTGAGGACTGATTTCAATCTGTCCTCACACCTCAATTACTGCAGTAGTCTTCTTCGGTCTGTTATTCTAGCAAGCTAACTGAAGTTGAGCACAACTTCAGTTTGTCAATAGTCACCACCTTCGTTAGCATATCTGCTGGGTTCTTGCTTCCTACAATCTTGTTCAAAGTCAACACTTCATCCTCGAGAAGAGATCTGATGAAATGATATCGTATGTCAATGTGCTTAGTTCTGGAGTGAAACACTGAGTTCTTTGCCAGATGTATTGCACTCTGACTGTCACTGTGCAAGACACTCTCTTTCTGAGTGAAACCCAAGTCTGCTAACAATCCTTGAACCCATATCAATTCCTTACTGGCTTCTGTCACTGCTACATACTCAGCCTCTGTAGTGGATAGAGCAACAATCTTTTGTATCCGCAACATCCAACTAACAGCTGTAGCTCCGACAGTGAAAACATAACCGGTGGTGCTTCTTCGGTGATCAACTTCACCTCCAAAGTCTGCATCTACGTAGCCCTGTAACTTTAGATCTCCTTTTCTAAAGTACAAACATTTTTCTGTTGTGCCTCGTAGATATCTCAAAATCCATTTGACTGCTTCCCAATGAGCTTTTCCTGGTTTTGACATAAACCTGCTCACAACTCCCACTGCATGGCCAATGTCTGGCCTCGTACAGACCATTGCGTACATCAAACTTCCATTGGCTGAAGCATAAGGAATCTTAGCCATGAACTCTTCTTCTTCCTTTGTTTGAGGAGACTGATCCTTGGATAGACGAAAATGGCTGGCCAAAGGTGTACTGACTGGTTTGGCCTTGTCCATATTAAATCTCTGCAAGACACGGTTGATGTACTCTGCTTGAGATAACTGCAAAACTCCCTTTTGCTTATCTCTCGTGATTTGCATTCCAAGAATCTTCTTTGCTGGGCCTAAGTCCTTCATGTCAAATTCTTTTGACAACTGCATCTTTAATTTTATGATGTCTTTCATATCTGATCCTGCTACTAACATGTCATCGACATAAAGTAGTAAGATGATATAGTTGGACTCATACTTCTTAAAGAAGCAACAGTGATCAGCATTGCACTTCTGGAAACCTTTGAAGCAACAGTGATCAGCATTGCACTTCTGGAAACCTTTCTTGTGCATGAAGCTCTCGAACTTCCTATACCACTGTCTTGGAGCTTGTTTAAGGCCGTACTAGCTCTTCTTCAATTTGCACACCATATCCTTCTTTCCATCTGAAAATCCTTCAGGCTGGTGCATATAGATCTCCTCATCTAGGTCTCCGTGAAGAAATGCAGTCTTCACGTCTAATTGCTCTAGGTAGAGCTCTTCACTAGCCACAATACTTAACACCGTCCTGATAGTATTAAGCTTTACAACTAGAGCAAAGATTTCAGTATAGTCAACTCCTTCTTTCTGCTGAAATCCTTTGACAACCAGTCGGGCTTTGTATCTCCTGGAACCATCATGGTCTTCCTTCACCCGATACACCCATTTGTTGTGAAGTGCTTTCTTTCCCATAGGTAACTTGACTAGTTCCCATGTCTGATTTGAGATCAAGGACTTCATCTCGTCCTTCATGGCAAGCTCCCACTTGCTAGCATCTGTGGTTTGACAAGCTTCCATGTAATTTTCAGGCTCTCCTCCATCAGTCAGCAACATGTAGTCCATGTTGGGTTCGCTAGTACCGTACGGGCTTTAAGCAGCGGAATTTAAAATTTTTCAAAGTAAGTATTTATCGTATAAATACTACACCCGTACATACTAATTGCGAATTAACTGATCGTCATCTTTAAAACATGCATCATATACAAATTTTGATTTGTTATAATAAAGTAAATACAAATACAAAGTATTTACCGAATGTCTTGAACTCCTTCAACGACGATGTGGATTGTGGGAATCGGTTCCCGGTTTGATAACTTCAACGGATTGAGGTTACTCACTTTAGGAATCCAAGTGTCTTCCCTCTAAATGTATCCACCCTATGAATCCCGGTTCCGATGACCTTCCTTCGCTAGTAGGAATGACTCGGTTTTATCGTATAGGAATATGTATGGATTTTATTTGGAAATATCAAGAACTCTTTCTTGATGTTTATGAAGAACTCTTTCTTCTTTCTAACACTTAGAAATTTTAGGAATCAATCCAATACCAATGCAAAACCATTTTGCACATATTTATACTAAACATTTTAGTATAAAATAATCAATATTTAGTAATATTTAAATAAAATCTAATTTTATTTAAATACAATTACTAACTTTTGACTTTGAATATAATAAACAATGTGAGGTTGTTCATAACCACCATCAACCACCATCTATTATATTCATAATTATAATTTTAATCTTTAAATCATATTTAAAGATAATAGAATAATATATCTTGAGAATCTATTCCAAGACTTTATTATTATATTCATTTCCAAATTTTCATCCATATAATAATAATCATATTATTATTATTTTGGTTTGGAAATTTAAAATCCAATTTTAAATTCTAACATATTAATTTAGTAATTACCTTAATTACTAAAGTAATATCAAAAATGTAATTAATCAATCTTATTGATTAATATATTCCTTTAATTGACATCTAATCAAATTAGATATTGTCAATTAATTCTAACTCTCTAGAAATACATTTTTCACCTTTGTTCATAATAGGTGTGACCTTTTAGGTTCACCTTAATACTAGTAGTGGGTTTACAACACTTTGTAATTTGAGTTAATCACATTAACTCCTATTCATGAATTAACCCTTTAATTCAAGAACCCACATATCATGGGAACACCTAGCAAGTAGCATGAATCTAGTATTAAGTGAATAGCAAGTAAACCTATTCCGATTACAAGTTCATACATGTAGAATCCCTTCGACATCCAATTTCCCGATTAAGTCTTGGGTATGATTTTGTCGAAACCCAAATTGACTTAATACTATGATTCTATTTCAAAGTGTATTAACCCGGTTATGAATCTCTATTCATCTCTGCCTTGGCCAAGGACTTTGGATTAATAACTATGAAACACATAGGAAATTCACTTATCTTCATAATTGTCGAATCCTTTATTGGCCACTAACAAACTTCCATATATATTAACATAATACCCAAAATATCCCTTTATACGATAGTGCTAGCTACCAAAAGGATAAATCAAAGTAGAATGTAATATGCACAAAGTTACCATTGTGCCTCAAGTCTAAGGATTAGTCATGTACTATTGTAACATGAAAATTCTTATTCGACTGAATAAATTCTTCATTAAAAATTTTCATACGGTCACGTTCAGTGAACTTGTTCTCTAACAAGCACCCACATAAATGTACTTACGTCTTACGCTAATGTTGATGGAATGCAACATTCTTGTCCAACAAGCGTACAAACTATGTGCAAGTCTTTTATGGATTATTCGATATCCCATCTCGAAACATCTATCGACTTGGAACTGTTTTAAGATCACAGCTTTCAAGGTATGTTCCATGATTACCATCTCTATGCGTAACCATACCTTATAACTATATGTGATCTAGGGATTTTATCTTAAGTGCAATTATAAGATAAATGCTTTCTCTTAAGATAAAGAAATGCCTTATTAATTAATATAATTCCAATAGATTGTATTTACAAGTAGAATACGTCCAATCTGATTGGAACGCCGGGTATACTACTCTAACAGTCCATGTATCTCCTGTTAGGCACATGGGGCCGAGATGACCTTCTCAATACAGGAGCTGGAGTAGGAGGTTCTGATTGCACATCACTTTCTTCATTTGATTCCTCTGACTGAGGACTTCTCATTATAGGACTGTCTGGGATATTTTCCACCTCAGCATAAACTGGCCCACTCGCTTCTGAGTTGCTGGCACCTGTATTGTGCCGGTCCTTGTACATCACTCTTTCATTAAAGATGACATCTCTGCTGCGGATCATCTTTTTGTTTTCATCATCCCATATGCGGTAGCCAAACTCATCTTCACCATAACCAAAAAAAGTACATTTCATTGATTTTGGATCAAGTTTGTTTCTACCTTGATCACTGATGTGCACATATGCTACACACCCAAAAACTCTAAGATGTGAGAGTTTTACTTCTTTTCCGCTCCATACCTCTTCTGGTAACTTGTGATCCAGTGGTACCGATGGACTTCGGTTGATCAAGTAAGTTGCTGTGTTGACTGCTTCTGCCCAGAATTGCTTTGGTAGGCCTGACTGTACACGCAAGCTTCTGGCTCTTTCAGTCAACGTTCGATTCATACGCTCAGCTACACCATTGTGTTGAGGCGTACCAGGCACGGTTCTCTCCATTCTGATCCCGTGCTCATAGCAAAACTTCTTGAATCTGGTTGTTATGTATTCACCACCATTGTCGGATCTGAGATTCTTGATCTATAAGCCTGTCTCATTTTCCACCATAGCTTTCCAAATCTTGAAAGCTTCAAATACTTCTGACTTGTGTTTCAGAAAGTAAACCCATACCTTTCTGGAATGATCATCGATAAAAGTCACGAAGTATTGCTTCCCACCAACGGATGGGACAGTCGTTGGACCCCAAACATCAGAGTGGACGAGCTCAAGATTCTCTTTCTTTGGGGTTCTTCTACTTGTCTGAAAGCTGACTCTCTTCTGCTTTCCAAGTATACAGCCTTCACACGTGTCAGTTTCTATTGACTGGAGGCCTGGTAATTTTCATTTTTGAGTGAATGATCTTCATCCCTTTTTCACTCATATGCCCAAGTCTTTGGTGCCATAGATTGGGACTTTCATTTGCTGCAACTGCAATCAGATGACATGCTCCTGTGGTCTTATAAAGAGTACCACTCTTTTTGCCTCGAGCAATTGTCATCGCACCCTTTGAAATCTTCCAATCGTCACCATGGAAGATTGTCGTGTAGCCTTCATTGGCTAGCTGGCCCACTGAGATTAAATTCTTCGTCAGGTCGGGAATATGTCTAACATTTTTCAATTCCCATACAGACCCGCTCAGCTTGATTTTTATTGCACCTTTCCCTACAACCTCACATGATTGCTCATTACCAAGGTTACCAGGAACATAATTTTCGAGTAATTCCTTCTGTGAGGTAGCATGAAAGGATGCTCCAGAGTCTAACACCCAAGACTCTTCTCTGTTCTCCAAAGAACATACCAGCATATCTCCTCCTGACGATGAGGCAACATTTGCTTCTTCTTTTGCCTCCTGACCCTTCGGTGCACTCTTGCACTGGTTTCTGTAGTGTCCGGTCTTCCCACAATTCCAGCACTCGATCGACTTCGAGGTTTGGGAACTACGATGATTTCTGGACTTGGATCTTCTTCCCTTTGATTTGTTGTGTCTGCTTTCTTTGGTTGTACTTCTTCCTCTTGACTCTGTATGCAATACAGAAGAGGTCGATGATTCACCCGACTCTCTCCGCCGGATCTCTTCACTGAGAACCAAATTTTGAACATCATCAAATCTCAACTTATTGTTTCCCGATGAGCTACTCACAGCTGTGACCGTAGCATTCCAACTTTCTGGTAGGGAAGACAAAAGTATTAAAGCCCGTACTTCATCATCGAACTCGATCTCAACTGGGTTGTAACGGTGTTGAGCTCATTGAGATGATGTGCCACCGAAGCACCTTCGGTCATCCGAAGGTTGAACAATCGCCTCATCAAATGAACTTTATTTGAGGCTGATGGTTTCTCGTACATGTTGGAAAGAGCCTTCATGAGGGCTGCTGTCGTCTTTTCTTTTGCAATGTTAAAAGCAACATTACGGGATAACGTCAGCCGGATGGCTCCAAGAGCTTGTCTGTCAAGGACACTCCATTCTTCCTCCTTCATGTCCTCTGGCTTCTTTCCTGTGAGTGGTTGATACATATTTTTCTGGTACAGATAATCCTCGATCTGCATCTTCCAAAAGCCAAATTCCACACCATCAAACTTTTCGATTTTCATTTTTCCTTCGTCTGCAGCCATCACTTTGACTCTGATCTGACTTCTCTGCCGGATCGTTTCTGCAATTTTTGTGAACTACCGTGTTTCAAAACACGTCGGTAGATAAATTGTAGCGCCGACAAAATTGGTATTATTCACGTTTTTCAACGGAAAGTAACACCACACAAAAAAATACAGAATTAACAATCTGGCTCTGATACCAGTTGTTGGGAAAAATACGCTGAATTTTCCATGAAGTCGGCTCTATAAAAGTGAAATAAAAATAAATATTTGGACACACCAAATTGATAACGGAGTTCGGCCAATAATGCCTACGTCTCCGGACTACTGCAGATATTTTATTGGGAAAAAGAAAATACACTCGTGTTTACAAAACACTCTCAAAACTCACTCACAACTCACAACTCAAAAATACACACAAATACTAAATTATATTTTTTTAGCTCACTCTCTTTTCTATCTCTCTTGTATTTTGTGTGTGTTTGGTGTGATTTTTGTTCATTAGGATCCTCTCTATTTATAGAGAAGAAGTGCATCTTTTTTCCACAAAGGTGTACTAATTTTTCCACAAAACACAGCACCGTGGCTGCTGCAATTTTCCAAGAAATGGGGCTGTCAAGTTTGTCCAAATTTGGTTGCTCATTTAACACAAACAACGGATGCCTTGTCATACTACTTACTAATACTAACCAACGTTGAAGTATCTTATTATGGAAATTCAGAGCATCGAGTTTCCTTTTCATGGCATAATGATTGGCGACATCGGTAGCCGCGAAAAGTTTGCTTGTGACAACTTCTTGCGTCTAGGGATTTTTGCCAGAAAGGCCAGTTTTCAATTGTAAAGGAAAACTCTTTTGGAAGGAAAAAGCAACAACAACAACAACAACATACCCAGTATATTCCCAACAGGTTGGGATCTGGGGGGTCAGTTGTACGCAGACCTTACCTTTGTAATTATACAAGAGAGGCTGTTTCCGTAGCGACCCAAGGTGCATTGCGCCGTTTGATATATTTTTTTTTTCTAGAAACTTCACTAACAGAATAAGCACTAGAATTTAATTGAGCCATTTTGATTTAGTCCATTATTAGCACTATGCCAGGAGAATTGTCAACAATGACTCTTCCAGCTCCATTTACAATGAACAATTTGGAAGGAAAAAGCCTCGAATATTATTACCAACTTGGACAATTCGCTCAGGATGCATAAAGGAGATATGCTTTTTGCAACCTTATCTTCTGTTGTAATTATATCGACATTTGTTTTGATGAGATTCACTCTGTATTTTGATTCACGTGTGAAAATTGTTAAGATCTCTATAAAAAAATTCTGATATGGAGATATAATATGATTTAGTTTCCCTTTTTTTTTGTGTGTGTTAATTTCAGCAAAAGAGATTGAACGAGTCGGGCTGTTGGACGTGTTGGGTGAACGTAGGAAGAGGGTTGTCTGTAAAGCTTCTTCTAGTGAGCAAGATGAGCTACACAAGTGACAAAACAGTACAAAGGCTATCATATGTTGTTCTCAGACAAATACAAATTACAAAGTGACCGATGACAAGGTACTTCTATCCAGCAGCATTTTGTATCTGTTTTTGTAATAATAATAATAATAATAATCATAATAATGTCAGAGGGAGGGGACTTGGGAGGTCAATTCAAGTTATATAACTCAGCAGCAGTGGCGGATCCAGGTGGAAGCACTGGGGGCACGTGCCCCCCACTAAGCGTATGTGTGAGTTTGGCTTTTTATGTGTATATATTGTAGAGAAGATTAGAGGAAAGACAAAATACATGCTTTTATTAAGCAGGTTGTAATAATTTGGATATTGTTTAACTTTTGCTTAGTTAATCTGACCTGCTTTATTTTCACAAACATATAAAAAAGGAGATTGTTAGTATATATTACAATAATATATATTACAAAGTATTGTCATAAAAAGCCAAACCTACACACACTAACATATATTTTATTTTTATTTTTTTAAAAAAATCATAATTTTAATACTTGACAATGTTAATGTGCCCCAGTGAAATTGTTTTTTGGATCCGCCATTGCAGTGTAGTTATTTTCATCTAGAACCATTAGATACTGCATGCTTTACAATATATAGAGAGATAGATAGAAGGAGCTGAGAAAAAACTAGATAATAAGAACCAAACAATGGTAAACACATTGTATGTCCTCACGCTCCGGGACTTATGTTGTTTTCAATGGTAAACAACGACACTAAAAGTGTTAAACCACAAAATCAAAATCTCCAAAATCTACCAACCAGTGACCACCGTTAGGTCGTCAAGAACAAAACCTATCACATCAAGTTCCTCTACTACTTTTCACAACTACGCATATACATACCATTATAACAAGCCCTTAATTAAACAGTCTGCAGGTCGCAAAAAAAGGGGCTAATAATTCGAACGAGGTGGAAGAGGATAGGCTCGATTGACCTGATTATGCCTTGGATGAAGTGGAGAACGATGGTGCAGAGAGCGTTGTTGTAAGGCAGCTCGATTGGGCGATTGATGGGTGGAATGCACTCTACGCTCTGTGGGCCTCTCGTTGGCCAAATCAATCCTTTCTAGTGTCTCGACTATCTCCTGCATTGATGGCCTGTTTTTAGGTTCGTTTTCGAGGCATTTAAGGGCAAGCTGGGCTATGTTGAGTGCGGATTTAGAAGGATATCTTCCCTCGAGACGCGAGTCCATAACTTGCTTCAACTTTCTGCGGTCGGATAGGTAAGGCTTGATCCAATCCACCAGTTTGGCCCGTCCGGATGGACGATTATTGTCGTGTGCTCGCAAACCCGTCAGAGTTTCTACCAAGACAACACCAAAACCATACACATCGCTCTTCACGTACAAGTGTCCTATTGACAGGTCAGCACATTTTGATTTTGTCATCATTTATTTGTTTATGTCTACTACGTTTGAGTAGAACAAACTGAAGAGTCGGCAGGTTTACCTGTAGCCACGTACTCTGGGGCAGCATAGCCATGTGTCCCCATGACCTGTGTAGTTACATGAGATTTACTAGCTGTTGGACCATTTTTGGCCAGGCCAAAATCAGATATCTTTGCGTGGTAGGCCTGATGGGAGAAGCAATATAAAGTAAGTGTGAGGAATGCACAAGTGTAATAACTAATAAGAGATGAAAATGGTGTGTGTGTGTGTCTTACTCCGTCCAGCAATATATTGGAAGCCTTGAAGTCTCTGTAGATGACTTTCCAATCAGAAGCATGTAAGAAAGCAAGACCACGAGCTGCACCAATTAATATCATAAGTCGTGTATCCCACCCCAGCGGCTGAACTGCAGAACCCCCTGAGCACCAACAAAATTCATTCATTCAGAATATCCTCAATCAACAGTAAGTAGCTAAAGAGAGCTTATTATAATAGGCAAAGACTTACTTCCAAAAAGATGGTTCTCTAAGCTCCCCTTTTGCATGAACTCGTACACCAGAAGCAGCTCAGAGTCCTCCCAACCGTAACCCAACAGCTTCACCAGATTGGGATGGGAAAGCCTCCCCAGGAAATTCACCTCAGACTGTAAGTCAATATTTCAATACATAATCAATAATCGATCAATAGCACATATGATTATACATATGTTGAATTAGTTGATGATGAGATTGGATTGAACATTGTTTAATATTTAATACCTTCCACTCGTTGAATCCCTGCATGCTCTCGGTATTCAAGCGCTTGACAGCGATTACAGTACCACTTCCGGGCTTGTGACCCGATGACCTCTCGTCAAGCCAGCCTTTATAAACCTTCCCAAAACCACCTTCCCCGAGCACCATATCGTTCCTGAAATTCTTGGTGGCGGCTCTCAGTTCTGCCAGCGAGAAAACCCTCAAATTCTGGTGACTCGACTCATCCCCTCCCGAGAATATGCTGCTGCAGCTGTTGCTGCCCGACGTGTTGCTCGTCCCACGTGATGCTGTCGCTGCAGAATATATATACGTATATGCCCACAAAACACGAAAACATTCAAATTTAATTCGATAATGATCATGGCAGAAGAGGAAACAGGGTAAGAAAATCAAACCTGAGCTGAATTCTGTGGTTGAACAAGTTGGGGTTTCATTGGCAGAGGTAGAGGTCTTAGAGGAGCTAAAGCAAAGTCCCATGCCTTGATTTTATCTATGTGATGATACAGAAAAGCAGCAGCAGCAGCTATTGATTTTAATCCAAGTTGGTGAAGAAAATGGAGAGTTATTCAGGTATGATACTCAAACACAAGAATGATGATTCATTTCACTTTCTCTATTATTAGTATTATTATTATTATTATTACTGTTTAAATGGGTTTTACTGGTTCAACGCTTGCATTTGGCGTTGAATGGGAATACTATTCTATTAATTCTGCTTTGTGCAGCATTTGGACTACTGGCTTTGAATGTTGAGAGCGACCGGACCGGGTCACCGGGTCATGCCTTATATTTGTGTCAAATATTTAAACGAAACCCCAAAAGTCAAGTCCACGCCGTGTAGTGTATAATGTAATGTAATCAGCTTGTCAATGCTTCCACGCTCCCAAATCATTTTTTTTTTTCATTTTAATAAATAAAATATTTACTTTAGGAAACTTTTGACCAGCTATCATTTTGAAGGCTGAAAGCCACCGCAATTATTTTATATACATAGTTATTTTCAGTTACTATTTTGCTTTTTCTCACGCCAATTTTAATTATTATATTTTCATCTAATTACAATTCACAATAATATTAATTTGTAGATTTTCTCCAGTAAATTTTGTCATTATCATTTTTTAGGAAGACTTTCTTTTTTCTCATAACTAAAAAAAAAAGAAGAAGAAAGAAAAAAATTAGATAAATGAAGTATCCATTGATTTGATAAACTTTCTGTCAAATGATCAGTTCAGTAGTAGTAAAAAAACAGTAGAAGCACCATATTATCCACAATATCATTATTTTCTGGTTGGGCAGTGTTATTAAATCTTTAACCTATATATGCAGATTAAGATACACTTTACATGCACTGGATTCGTAGTGCCTTGATGAACTAGTAAATCATTCAAATAACTGTATCAGCTAGTAAGAATTTATGTAGAAGTCAACTAATTACTATGTTAGTTAGACTTTTCATCTTTGTAGCCATTGGACTATCTGGTTGTATAGTAAAGTTAAAGGAGTCAACTGTTGACTCTATTATGAAGCCAACAGTCAATGGAACAGCTCCATGTGGGGCTGTCCCACATGGCTTCAATGTGGGACAGCCCCACATGAAGCTGTCCCATTGGCTGTTGGCTCCTTAGCATTATTATTCGGTTGTAATCCTTTGTTGAGTTTTTGAATGAAGTTATTGTTTTGGTTGGAAAAAAAAAAAAAAAAAAAAAAAAAAAAAAAGTTAGACTTCTCATCGGCTATCCCCAAAGTCAGAAATTGCATATCTTCTCTCAAATATACTGCGTGGGGGCCTCGGTTAATTCTCACGCGATATTTCTTGAAATCAATGAGTGAATAAAAAGGAAAGGACATAATTTCAGAGACAAGAAAATGTGGGGTGTGAGTGAGCCGTGTAGGACATGAGCCACACTTATACAATTAATTATGGGAATTGGTAGGTGGGAAAATAGGAGGAAGATACTGTTGACTTTTGTAATTTTTAATAAGGGCGTAACTATTTACTGCCTCCCATTTTACTAGTCATTGCTCTTCTTGGACAGTTTTGCCCTTCTCATTTTTTCTAAACATCTCAGAGGAAAGTGTACGGTGAAATGTCGTCAAATTCGGTAGGGGTGTTCACGGTCCGGATTGGTCCGGTTTTAGCCTAAGTCATGACCAAACCGGACCTAACGGTTAATTTTTTTTCTTGTCCATAACCGGACCGGTTTTATTTTTTAACCGACCACAATTCGGACCGCATTGGATGGTCCGGTTTGGCGGTTAACCGGTTAAATCCAAAAACCTTGTTTTGGGCCTTCAATTTTAATTTTTTTCATTTCGGGCTTAATTTTTATCCCATAAGCATAAAAATACACAATTCATCCCATAAGCATAAAAATACAAAAATGATGAAGATTAAATTATGCAAATTGAACCAAGCAAGCATTTATTTTTCAGTCAGTTTATACACCTAAAATAATAAGACCAAAGCATTCATAGTGAATGTATTGTATTTGTCGGTCATAGTGAATGACCGAATGTATATATATATTTGTTATAGTTTTTTAATATTTACCAGTCCGGTCCGGTCCGGTTAATCCGGCGGTTTGCCGCCGGTAATCCGTTAACCGGACCGGTTATTCTGGATTTTTAAAAAAGTTAACCACCGGATTTCTTAAGGCTTTTTTAACTGACCATTTAACCGATCCGCGGTCCGGATTGACGGTTTTTTCCGGTTAAAACCAGACCATGAACACCCCTAAAATTCGGATGTACGAAAAAATAGGTGTTCGGCCGCCGGTTCCGGACGGCTTTTAGCCCATCCGGCCGTCGGAACCGAACGGTTTTAAGCCGTCCGAAAATGACGGCCGATCGGAACCGGTCCGTCCGGTTCGGCCGGCCGGACGTAATTTTTTTTTTTTTAAATTATTATGTTATTTATTCGAAATATTTTTTTTTTAAATTATTATGTTATTTATTCAAAATAATTATGTTATAAATTGGACTATATTATCATGTTATAAATTATTATGTTACATTTTAGACTTGATTATGATATAAATTGGACGTTTATTGTGTTAGGAGTTACAAATTATTATGTTACATGTTGATTATAATATAAATTGGACATTAGATATTATCGTGTTACGAGTTAGAAATTATTATATTACATATTAGTCTTAGTTATGTTATAAATTGACGTTAGATAGTATCGTGTTAAGAGTTACAAATTATTGTGTTACATGTTTATTATAATATAAATTGGACGTTAGATATTATCATGTTACAAATTATTATGTTACATGGTAGAATTAATTATCTTAATTTATCATGTTCTAAAAATATAAATATTGTACTATATAGCAGGAGTCATGGGAAGAATTTGGAGGAGATGGTGTTGATTACAGTCTTATTATTATAATTTATTATTGTTATTATAGTTATTTCTAATTTGTAATTATTATTATTATTATTAGAATTTATAATTAATTACTTTATATTCAACTTATTATTATTATCATATATGATTATTATTATAACTTATAATTTATAATTTATAATAATTATACTGATTATAATTATTTATTATTATAATTTATAATTTATAATTTATAATAATTATAATTATTATTATTATTTATTCTTATTATTATTATCATTATAATTTATAATTTATAATAATTATAATAATTATTATTATTTATTATTATAATTTATAATTTATAATAATTATAAGTTCGTGTAAAAAAAAAAAAAAAAAAATTTACCTTGTTGGAGAAGAGTCCTTTGCTGATGCCGTAGAATTTTTTCGACATTTTTTTGGATTTTTTTTTATGCTCGACTCGTTCGTTGAAGTTCAAAAATTTAGAGAGATAGAAAGTTTAGAGAGATGAAATCCAAAAAAAAAGTTTAGGGCAAAAGAGTAAATGAGGGGAGACGGTAACTAGTAAAAGGGAGGCGGTGAATAGCAGTTGAGTTTTAATAATCTTCAGACACCCACTGCTCCTTCATTTTTCCTTTCCTTTATTAAAAAGATAACGTGTAATTGGGAATAAAAGTTGGGAAGCAATTTTCCACAAAAGCTTGTTGGGATGAATATTGAATGAGGATATTTTATTTTCACGAAAGTTTACGAGTACAAAACCAGAAATTACGCTGAATCTATAACACACACACACACAAACACAGCCGTGGACCAATTCATTTAGTAATTAAATTAACAACCACCACCATTTTCATACCATAGGTGAAGTCGTGTTCTGTATAAAATTTGCTTGAGTGGTTCTTTCCGTGACCTGGCTATGGCTACAATTGAATATTAGAAATTGTACACACATGCTAAAAGTATTACAATTTTGCATAAGAATATTTAATGTATATTACTGCATAAATAGATTTCCTAATGTTACATTAAAAATCCAACAAACTAGAATGTGCCTCTTCACCATTCTCTTTTTAAAAAGAGAATAAAACCTTATAAAGAGAATTATGGGGTTGCTGAAGCATCAGCAGCAAAATATTGAAATCCGAGCTCAGCAAATTTGTAAATTATATAAATTAGATATAGAAGTACAAAATCACAAGATATATCATATGTTGTGAAGCTAAAAAACTGGAACCTGTGGTCATAATCTATATTGGTTACATGGTGGATGAGAGCCTATCACAATGAGGGACTTGCTTATAGCACATTGGCAAGACCACATGCATTACCACAGCTCTATATTGCCCCATTCAGTCAGAATTTCGATATGATTATGGAATGAATTTCACTTGCCTTATCTAATCCCAAATTGCTGGAGCGAATCTGGACCAACAAGGAAAACACGCTTTTGTGTCTGATACCGGAAAACTACTACTCCTTTATATGCTGTTCTTGGGACACCATCCTGAGAAAAAAAAACAAACAAACAAACAAAAACAAAACCGAGTACTTCATCAGAAAAAAATGAATAGAAAATGCTTTACAGTTGTGCGGCACGCAAAAAACAGGATAATAACCTATTCTGGGGACTGGGGGCTGAAATAGACTAAAATGGAACGATAAATAAACAATAACCACCTAAATAACTCTATAACAGTTGTTACCTTCCACTCTTCAAAAATACCAAACTGACTCGCAATGCGCTCAAAGTCCGACTGGTCTCGGTACAAAATACGAATGTCACCTTCTATGTTATTTGTCTTCCGAACAGCATCGGTCCCATACACTGGGGTAGAGTTCTTAAGCAATCCAGCAAAGTGCTCAGCATACTTGTCCTAAAATAACACATATTTACAAATTATTTTTAAGCAACAACATTTTTACTCTTACTTTCATCTATTTCTTATACTTTGTTTAATGTTCCCAGCATAAAAATTTACCTCCTCTAGGTAGCTCAGATCCATCGACTTCCAGTCAACCTTCCAGAGAGAGATCATAGGATGAGCCTTTAGACAACAGCAGGCAAAACGATATTACAGTGAGGAACTCAGCGCGAAATTGGTTACACACCTGAACATCATTCAGTCTGATAGGTTCAAGGTATTGTCTGAAGAATTGCCCCATACTGGAACCCTACAAAAAAAAATAATAATAATAATAATAATAGTAATAATAAACCCAGAATTCAGAAGCAATCGGGGATGACAGTCTCACATGCTCCCCAAAATTATATGTTC